CTCTGTGAACACAAATTAGTTAGCATAAATCAGTTAAATGACGAAATATTAGGTGTCTATTTACTTGTGACCACTCAGTGTACATCGAACAAAACAACAATAATATATAACTTAAATTTACTTGGGCTTATCTAGAGGATCTGGCTCAGAACGGCCCATGCCAGCTGGCGCCTTCTCAGCATCTTCCTTCACCAACAAGTGAAGTTCAGCTTCTACCTTGCCCTGTTACAAAATAATATTTACATTACATTTATTCTCTTTCAGAACAAGGAATACATTTATATACTTTCCACTCCTCTGGTGATGATCAATAACACCATAGAATAAGTAACACTAATAATAATAAAATTAAGCTAAAATAGAGAAGAAACTGGATATATATGTGAATTATATTAAAGGCATTATAAAACAGTTGCACTTAACACCCAAAGTCTTATGAAATATTTTATATTTGTTTAAAAATGTTTTTATAACATAACATTTGAATTTCTTATGAATTCTGAACTTTTAAAAAGTATTATTTTTCAAAAACTAAGAATTACCACTTTATGACTAGCTCATATATTCTACAAATAATGATCCATCATAGGCATATATAAAACTTGAGAAGACCATTTTACGATACTCTCTACAGTTGTATATGAGTTATATATTTTTTTTTGTTCTTGGTAAAGCTGTATTTATCATTATTAAAATAACAACAATTAATAATATTAAACCTTAGTCGCGTATGACTTTTCGTCGAAGTGGTTTTACCATTACCTGTCTTTTAAAATACAATTTAAGTTTAAGTTACAGTTATCAACCAATATAAAAAACAACAAGTTGCAAATGACACACTGAAATATTTAGCCAAATGTAACAAATATAACATGACATTGAAAATATTGTAATATACAGTAATAAAAGCAATTATATTAAAGCTACCAATAACCAATTTCGATATGTGAATATGAATAGCCCTAAAATAGCTAATATGGCACCAAATACGAATACAAAATTGTTTTAGTTCATATCTTCCATAATTTTAGCTGGCAGGGCGTTGGTGTTTACAAATAAGACGTGCAGTAAAAACACAAAATTTACCGTTAGCTCCATTTCTTCATTTTCTTTTTTGACATAGAAAGGCCACCATCCTTTTATACGCCGTTGTTTAAATAAAGAAACAGTGGGGACGCTGCCATCTGCTTTTAACATGTCTAGAGTACACAACTTCGAAGATTTGGCTCCACGAGGGAAACGGTTTAGATCGAGGGTTATGGCACCTATTCGTATGAACAAAGTTTAAGTTGAAACTTTGGAAGGCTGAGTAATTGTTTAAAATAAATTACAAACATTAATAAATGTGGGAACCTATTAAACTTTCATAGGAGTATTATTCTTGTTATTATTGTTTTTGGTTTGTTATTGTGATTCCTGTTTAAAAAATTAGAATGTGTTTTATTGGTGGAAGATCAGAAAATCTTTATACAATGATCCAAAGAATGCCTTCCATTAACTGTAGAACTTACAACAATAATAACTGAAACATCAATAGCTTAATGTGTAAACTATAACTAGGATGATTTCCACAAACGATTATTAAAAGACTAGATTATAACTACTATGAATTGCTCTTCACAACAAACGTTTTATAGCAATTCTACAGCATAACAGCTATATAAGATATAGTTTTTCCCCAGTTGCAGTCGAAGCTGGTTCATGTTCGGGGATATGTGAATATGAAGCGTATCGTTATACTTTAGCGTGAGTATGGAGATATCACTGTTATTATAGCATCTACATTCCTCTATCGTTCTTAATGTATGGGTTAACACTGGCAATATATAGGTTAACATTGGCACAGTATATGGGCTAACACTGGTACGGTATATGGGTTAACTTGGCACGGTATGTGTGTTAACACTGGTATGGTATATGAGTTAACACTGGTACGGTATATGCGTTCACATTGGCATGGTATGTGGGTTAACACTATTAAAGTATATGGGTAAAGATTAAAAAATAACATGGTACTGGCTAATTTATATGTTTCATAGTTGAAGTCAGTTTCAAAGTATTAACTTTCAAAGTATCATTAGATAAAAGCTATTGTCTAATAATTTTTATCATTCATAAAATTAGTATTTACGTTAACGTTAGAAAGGATAGAAGAGATATTCTGTGGATTAAATAGAGAGGTCTATGGTGTACAATAATTGAAATAGTAGCTTTAAAGTATTAAGCATGAGCTTCAGTTTGGATAGCCATTAAAACTTCTGGAAGTTAAAAAAATATGAGAGGAATAGATACGGAGGTCAAGGGATTTTCAAAGATTGCACATTAAGGCTTTTTTTAATTATTGACTTTCACATACATCTGCTTAATAAATATTCCACTTTTAATACAATGTAAAAATATACGATGGAATAATTAGAATAAATATAAGTTACACAATGAATATTATCAATATATAAATAACAAACAAATGTCTGACTGTCTGTTATGCTCTGTACCTCGTGAACAGTTAACCGCAGAAAAAACAAATTTCAAGAGTAAATAACAGAAAATTTTTATTAATTTTTTGCAATTCCTAAAATTTCATATCGATATCAGCATCGATCCGTCAGTCTTCGTATGTGCTGAATGATCATACTGAGAAAAAAACTTATTGAAATAAAAAATGTATTTATTTTTTCTTATATCGATATTATATACATACATTATTTTACTGCACCATGTCGAATAAATTTATTTTAATTTAATTGAATATTTTCCTTTGACATTTATAGAAATGACAACTGTTAAAAAGAGCTCAGTTCGGTAGTGGTCTTTTCTTTCGCTCAGTAAAATGGCAAGAAACGGTGGCATCCAGAAGGGAAAAAAATCCCCGCGACTACTTAGTGATTTTGCCTACTCTATTTCTTGGATGAATCGATGCATCGAATCCTAAATATTTTTCCAATAATGCATTGCAGTCAGTTTCATTTACTTATAAACAAACGCAATGCAACTTTTCTTATTAAAATAACACTGGGAATCACAAAAGACTATCATGTTACATATACGTTCTGATCCAACAGATTGGGTTCACTGAATATTTTATATTCATTCATCACCATTTTTAGGAAAATTACCGTTGAATTTTTTCAACGGGTATCTGCTAGTAGAAAAATAAAACAAAATACCCTGTTTACATAATATTCATGGTTTGTGGTTTAATTATAGACTATAAAAACATTATATGAATATATGTGCTCATTTAATTAACTAACTTAAATGTGCGACATTCGTGAGAAAGAAAAGGGTTGGTACACTTTCTGTCCTAAGTAACAATGAAAACCATAACATAGTAAACGTTGTTTAGTTTGTTCAGTAGATTGCAAAAGATTAACAAAATATATGTATCAAAACAGCAATAAATAATATATGTTGTTTTTACCACATATATTTTAGTGCAACGAGTTTCGGGCGTCTGTTTGTGTTAAGGAAACTCGCGATACATTTTTTTTTTTTAAGTATACATCCAAGCAAGTATCCATCATTATGAGACATTCTGATAACTAATAAACACGATTTTTTAATTTATTGAAGTTAGAAGATACAAAGGTTTGGTTTGAATTTCGATGAAAACGATTCGAAAGGCTATCTGCGCTAACCTTCTTAATTTAGCAGGGAAGGCAGCTAGTGAACACCACCCACCGCCAACTCTTGGCCTACTATCTTACCAACGAATAGTTGGACTGACTGTTACATTATAACATCCTCACGGCTGAAAGGGCGAGCATGTTCGGTGACAAAAATTCGAACCCGCGACCCACAGATTGCGCGTTGAGCGCCCTAACTACCAGGCCATCCCGTGCTAAAGAAGAAACAAAGCATAACTCAAATATCACTTGAACGACATAAATAAAGTTGATGAACAAAACAAACAAACGAATGAAAAGTTAATACGAGGTAAGTAAAAAATAATAATAATAAGATTGAGAGAAAGCATGTCTAGCGAACAATAAAAAATCAAAATGATGAAAAATGATTAATTATTTGAGAAAATTAAGTTATTAAAGATAGAGTTAGAAAAAACAAGGAATACTAAACAGAATTCTCCAGAAAGCCCAAAGGGATGACTTTCTCGATGGCAGTAAAGTAGTTGTGTCAGTTTTGTTAGTTCAGAGAAGAGCGACTTGATTGGTGATGTTTATTATTGTATTATTGTAAAGTGGACTTGATAAGTTTCTAAATATAATAAATCACTAAAAGATGTGAAAAAGCTAGCTGACAGAATGACGTCATGAAGTTGAAATTAATAGTTTTTGCTTCTGAAATGCTCTCTAACTTTCAAGACGAACGTCATCAAGCTGCATTAATTCTCTATCCGCAGATTAGGTCCGAAAAAAGCACACCAAACACGTTTTCGTTCAAATTGAATCAAATTAATTTGGCACAGTCATTATTGTTATTAATTTGGTATAAATCATTTCTCAGTATTTCTGTTCTCAGATTAATAATTAAATGATAAAATCGCTAAATAAAACACTATTTGAAAAGTAATCTCAACAATATTTGATATATATATGAAGATTGTTTCATGTCGGTTTTACAGGTTTAAAAACAAAATAGTTTTATTATTTTGTATATTAACAATTGAAAGTATTAGCATAGTCTTTATACATAGTCTTTATACACAGTCTCTAAACATAGTCTCTAAACATAGTTTCTAAACATAGTCTCTCAACATAGTCTTTAAATTCGATGACGAGGAACCCACTTTGAGACTAATAATGCTTGGAAACGGCTTGTACAACATTTCGACAAGGTCTTGCTGTTATGTTAAACTTATATTAAAGTTTTTCTTCATTACCCATTCAAGCCGTCTCAAACCATTAATAGTCTCTAAACAAATAATATACCTAAAAAATCATCAGCAGAGAAATGGTCAGCATCCCACACTTGGAGTTCCAGCCGGGCAGGGATTTTGCACTCTGTCTCGTCCCAAGAAAACAAAGACTCCTTGCGGGAGATGACAATTTTTTCCTCCGCAGGCAAATAATCGAACGGAAAAATATATCTCCAGTTAAAGTTTCCTTCTCCAGTTAGAGACCTGAACAAAATGTTTCTCCTGTTGTAATCTCAATCATGGAGACATGCAGACATATAATGCACTACAACTTTGATTTATACGTGAATTATTTGTAGGACTATATTAAATGATATTATTTACTAGTAGGATATACTAAAACACATTTGATTAACAGAATTTAAATCCTGTTCAAAAAATAGCTGGGAAACATAATTATGCAATATGTTACCGCATGCTTCTAAAGATATTTATGTAGCATGTTAAATGACATACAATCCGATTTCTTATTAGACTTTTAAATCATAATACTTTATTAGCGTTAATTTTTCTAACATGTTTCTTAACAAGGCCAGGAGTTTTCTGTCTAAAACTTAATGTAAAATGTCCATTCTACAAAGTCTCATCATGTCAATTATTATTTGTGTTTGATCTATGTAAAAATAAAGCTATGAACTTATTGATTTACTTCACTTTATAGAATTATCAAGTTTGTATCTTAAGATTTATCTCTATTCCTATCTCGAACTAGCAATCCATCGATATAAAGAGTGTAGTTATTAATTTCTTATATTTGTTCCTATTTTAAACCAATCCACCTTAGCCTTTTGTTCTTTTGTTAGATGACGTTTTCTGCCAAAAAAATATTTTAGTGTATTTTGAGCCTGGATTAGGACTACTTAGAACTGGGATATTCTTTGCTGGCCAAAGTATGAGTTCAACTGAATTTGATAGTTGACCAATGCTGTCAGGGAAAAAAAGGTCACGAAGTGCAGCTGATGTTTGAAATCCAGGCGCTCTCTTTGTATCAGTTTTACTCACAGTTTTGTAGATATATGACCTTTCGAAGTTAGTTTAGCATTTGAGTGTTGAGGTAATCTAACGGTCGTATAACTTGTACTAAAGACTGTCCGTCGTCGCAAGTAGTACGAGCTCAGTTTTCAGTGTTTTTACGTTGTAATAAATATTTTTTTTTTCACTTAGAGTGTGCAGATTTTCATATTTCCAAACTAGCTCCGAAAACTCAGTTTAATACTCTCACTCGGGAAGTTCACTTAAATCACTGAACCTGCAGTTATTTGCAGCTTTTCTATCAGAGTCACCTGTCTGAAAATCAATTTTATCGGAAAACACCACATGTATACAGAATGTATATTTAACTCTTATCTCTGTTCCTATCTTTAACTAACTATCCGTAGATATAAATTATGTATATATTAACTACTTATCGCTAGCCTATGTAATCTTCCAACGTAATTATTGTCTCTCCATATCTATTAAGATATTTAATTACCCAATTAAAGCAATAAAAGTTTTATTGCACAGCTAAAGTGGGATAAGAGGATGAAACTATAAGCTCGACTGACTATATGTTGACAACCTGATGAAATAATGTATTTATTTTCTATGTTTTTCTTATTCCATTTTAGTAGTTTAATGAACTTTGATAATCAAACTATTCATCAATAAATCTCTATTTCTATTTATCATCTATGTCTATCCTTCTACCAAACTTCGCTGATACTTTAGCTATCCAAAGATTATGTCATATAGTTCATGAACTACCTGTAGTGGATATCAGTGCACTGAGTATCTTCAGGTCCTTTCAGCCACCTGAGAAAAGAAATACTAAAGTTAAAAGACATAATGTTCTGTTATTCCTTATGAAAGGAAAATGTTGTGCGGTAAAATTCCTTGATCCTATAATCTTATAATATTTCAAACCAATGTTTTATCGTTTGACCGTATGAGATTTCAGAAAGAAGTCCTACTGTATATTAACTAGTGAAAAGCAAACTTTCATTCTTTAGCCTTAGGGAAAAAAGAGTAATCTATCTCTTTTCAAATGTTTTCATATCAGTAGTTTCAGTTTAGAGAATATCTACCAATTAAAAACAGGAATGATCAACATGGATGTCATCACAGTTTGACTATAGTTTAGATTTTCAGCAATTCGTACATTGAAGGTTTCGTTTATAACATTATTATTTTTTAAAATTAAAGCTTCGATTTCTTGGCGTTTCCGAGAATGAAATCGAAAACTTGTTTCGTAGACTAAGGAACAAGGCTTTCATTTGTAACTAACAACCTATTTGTTAAATTAAGTACCATGTTACATCAGTAGTACATTATTCCTATATTGTAACTAACAACCTATTTGTTAAATAAGTACCATGTTACATCAGTAGTACATTATTCCTATATTGTAACTAACAACCTATTTGTTAAATCAAGTACCATGTTACATCAGTAGTACATTATTCCTATATTGTAACTAACAACCTATTTGTTAAATTAAGTACCATGTTACATCAACAAATAGGTTGTTAGTTACAATATAGGAATAATGTACTACTGATGTAACATGGTACTTAATTTAACAAATGGGTGTACTACTGATGTAACATGGTACTTAATTTAACAAATAGGTTGTTAGTTACAATATAGGAATAATGTACTACTGATGTAACATGGTACTTGATTTAACAAATAGGTTGTTAGTTACAATATATTGTTAGTTACAATATAGGAATAAAACAAATAGGTTGTTAGTTACAATATAGGAATAATGTACTACTGATGTAACATGGTACTTAATTTAACAAATGGGCAATTAAGTACCATGTTACATCAGTAGTACATTATTCCTATATTGTAACTAACAACCCATTTGTTAAATCAAGTACCATGTTACATCAGTAGTACATTATTCCTATATTGTAACTAACAACCTATTTGTTAAATTAAGTACCATGTTAAATCAGTAGTTCACTATTCCTATAGTGTAACTAATAGAATAATCTCAATTTTCTTTGTTAACGAGTCAAAGTTGGAAAAACCATAACTATAATATTTTGTATTAACAGCTTCAAGCTAATAGGTATGAATTATTAGATCTGGACTTTTTTTTCAATAGTTCTTGTCTGTTTAGAGATCGAAATTATACTTTTTAAACTATGCCAAAGATAGTTAGATATTTAGTGAATGTGCTGAAGCCTTGGTTATTTGTTTTTCTGGGAGTTTTTAAACCATATCAATTCCCAGTTTTTTGTTTCTTGGATTTTAACAAAATGGTTGATAGGTATAGAAATAAACAAAATGAAAACCTTACTCCTGTGTGTTAATGAAAAACCCGTCGATCCTTACTTATTCTGAAGCAACTAGGCTGCTATAGAAATTACAGTGAAAGGCCCGTTTACCCTTACTTATTCTGAAGAAATTAGAAGTTTACGTTAACTTACAGTGAAAGGCCCGTTTATCATTACTTATTCTGAAACAATTATAAGTTTACGTAACTTACAGTGAAAGGCCCGTTTATCATTACTTATTCTGAAGCAATTATAAGTTTACGTAACTTACAGTGAAAGGCCCGTTTATCATTACTTATTCTGAAGCAATTAGAATTTTACGTAACTTACAGTGAAAGGCCTGTTTATCCTTACTTATTCAGAAGCGATTAGAATTCTACGTAACTTACAGTGAAAGACACGTTTACTGTTACTCAGCATTATTGACATCACGAGGTATATTTGGGTCAGCTAAATTTAGCACCGAATCAAATGTTAGACCCATAAAAAGTTATTAGCTGACGCAATTAACAGCTTTTACTTGTATATAATTAAACATTAGTTATTATATTTGTTTAAACGTTAACAATAACTTACATTCAATCATTTTGATAAAAACATGTCAAGTGACACAAGCGAAATAATCTGTGAATATAATATATATATATACGAAACATGTGAGTTTTTAACTTGCAATCTATTGCCAGCTGAAGTAATATTGTTTCAAAAATTAACACACTGTGAATCACCTGAGGAATATAGGCTGATGCAGCTGAAACAAAGTACTTTACACTTAGAATATCATGAATTAACTCACTAATGTAATGTATTAACATCGTTCTTAGTCTAAAAACTTACCCTTTCACATAGATGTCGCTCATTTTTTCACCCGTGAAGAAAGCATCGTCTTCTAAAACGACGTCGTCTGTGTTCCAGATGATAACTCGCAGCTCGTAGCTGGTAAAATAATAAACAAAGTACTGTTTACAAAAATGTTTGTTTGTTTCAAAGTCAAGTCACATTGGACTTTCTGATGTGTTCACTGCGGAGAATCGTTGTATGTCCGTTATCTTATCGCTGTCCCATGGGGGACGTTTACGAGGAAGGTATGACTATTCAATGAAATTTCTAAAGATTTATATTTTCTATAATAGACCTAAATAAATCTGAATGTTTTTTCACGGTCACAAGAGGTATGTATTCCTTCCGTCCAGCACAAGTACCTGTATCCGTTAACATGTTGTTGGTATTGAAAACTGGTCGCTGAAAAAGCTGATAAATGTGGTCTATAAACAGTTTAAATAGCTTGCGTATGTGCATAAATAAAAGCTAAAAATACATCTTTTATACATATATGTACAGGAAATGTTATTTAAATAAAAACATCGAATAAATAATTAATGAAGCTGTTAACTGCATGATTTCACCTCACTATGATTATTAAAATTAGGTAAAAAATACATAACTTAAACCAGGTAAGTAGCAAAAACCAAAATGTCCCACATGTAACCAATTTCGGAAAGTTAAATAGAGAAGGCCACTGATGTAGGAAAGAACAAATTATCTGCGAATGTTGATAATAACCCATCCTTCACAATGGTGAGCATAATAGTTAGTTAAATAGTAATTAAATAATGTACCGCAAATGATGTTATTTATAAATATACAATACTGATATCAAAATAATTCAGTTCAAAATGATAAAAACATTAGGGTTACCCGTCATCTACCGATAATGGCCTTGCTGACTAAAAAACTGAGCCGCTTACTTAGTAGATATTTCCGTGTATGCGCGTGATTACTAAGCATCATCTGATCAGATGTAAACTGAAAATGATAATTAATATTCATTTAACTTAATTGTGCAGAATAAAGGTTAAATTTAATATACAGTGTGTTCCTACTTCTGATTGGATCCGATTCAACAGATACCACTACACATCAAGATACATTTCATAATTTACAAAATGGTAACTTGTATTTTAATGCTGTTCTGGCAATTTTTCTTGCCATTGTCTCATTCTTGAATTACTTAAACAAATATACTTATAACTTTATTTCAAAGTTTTTCAAACAACTAGACCAAAAAAGCGTCACACAGAAAAGACATATATATGATAAAATAGGGCCCACTTAGCGGTGGAGATACATCGTTTATCAGATTTAAAACTGTAGGCCCTACTTTCAAAAATACTAATCTTGCTAAAGCACGTTTTACCCCTTCCAGACTGTATTTTTTATCCTACTTTTATGTGTTTGTCCAATATGTGCTATGGTTTTTGTTTTAACTTATGTTTTCAATTAAGTAGAAACAAACATTACCTCTTCGGTTTTCTCGGCGAAATATCAGTTGGAGGTCGAGGAAGTGGCATATCCATTGGGAACATGTCCACCCATATTTCAAGTTTACCCTGTAAGTACAAACAATTTAGACTGGTATACAAGACGCAATGTGAAATAACATTAAGGTTGTTTTTTAAACATTTTCTTTGTTGACATCTCTTTCTAGAACATCATGAGAGATTAATAAATAACTTATATCGTTTGAAGCATCGGCTATTTCATTTTATTAGATCAATTTGTCCAAAATATGCAAGTTAAATATAGCAGTCGTTTCGTGTTATTTGATACATAATTAATACCAAAAGTATCACGGTAGTTCGAGTTATTTAATAATTGGCATCAAACATTACACCTTAATTACAACAGAAGTTTGTGCTGTTGGATACTTTCGATATAAAGTGCTTAATTCTATGCTGTAGAATACAGGTGTTAAAATGTATTTGTGGCAATAAAATGTTACTTCTCTTGTGTACTTCATATACCCCGGCATGCGGGGAGGCAAAAGCTGTGATGTAAAGGTGTTTTGAAATGTCAATTCAAAGCGTCTGAAATCAGTACTGATAACTGGGAAGAACTCGCTCGAGACCGACCAACTGGGAAAAGTAACATGAGAGCCGCAATAGAGACCGTGGAAGCAAACAGAGAACGAAAGTACCTGTTTAAAAAAAAAGAACAGAAAGTGTAACCTCCCCCCCCCTTCCGCCTCCTGACTGCTGAATTTTCTAGGCCTGCGTGCGGCTGATGTTGTACGTCCGACAGAAACACCAAAATATTTTCCACTAAACCCCGTCGACTCCCAAATATAGTCGGGTGGGATTTTCTACAAATCAAGGTGGCGTTATAAATATTTAATATCCTATGATGTTTCGTAATTTGCACGAACAGATGGACTTTTTGAGAATTCTATTATTTTTTTTAGATGGTCAGACGACCCCCACCCCCAAATATGATAAACAACTATCTAGGAGGTGTCGCTCAGTTTGCCCGTGCGATGCCTTAATTTCAGTTAGGTGATATCATCCTAAGATGAGAATTTACAAAACTCATTTATAGTCCGAGAGGGTAATGAAGTTTGTTTTGATTAATAGATAGAATAACTGACACCTTATAAAACGTTCATGTCTGGTTCAACTCCTGACGTATAGTTAATTCTAGGAAATGTCACGGTAATACATTATTGTGAGACACCTTGGAAAAGTCCCGAATATATACTTTATTATAGAAGTCAATTTCTTTACCTGTTCGATACCTGGCTTATCTGGATGATACAGGGGTCTGGTCTCCACATGCTCTTCAACCAAACTGCAACCAACTTTAGCGATTTCCTCCCATCGATGAATAACAGCTAAAGCAAGATGTTCCTCACTCACTCTTGTTCCTAACATGAAACCGAGAGTTAATTGTGGTAAAAGGCTGTTTTTTTAAATGAGTATGATCATTTTACAAAACAAAGTTTTTCGAACTTGGTCTTCGAATGGAAAATTTTATAAATTTAAAGAAAGGGAAAACAATAAATCAATTTTAACTTATGATTTTTAGCAGATTACTAAACCACAAAACCTACCTAATAAAACACAGTTACTTAAATGTTTAAACTTTGGACACAACGCTGGTATGATTGGATATCTAAAAGTCAGTGACCATCCTCTAGCGGCTTCCAATACAGGATAAAGATTATGACATTTGTTTTTATATAAACAGTGTTTCTTGGGAACACGGTTTTGAACACCTGTATTGTCCGATTTACTGTCAAAACTGAAAATACGTTTTGAAAAGCCTCGTGAAAATGCCCGGTATAATGGTATACTGAATGGCATTTCTTGATGTTGATTAAGACGTGTGAATTTCCAATGACACATGTTCCCCCCTTTTTGCACACTATCCTTATTAAATATAGTATACAATTACAATGACTTTAGTGTCAAATAAACGCATTTTAGTTTAATTTCGCTACATAAACGTCAAATTTTCTTTAATTAAACGTTGGTATGTTTAGAAATAAAAACTAGGTGAATTATACTATTGAAATGTTATGTAAGGTAGCGAGATAACGACTATAAAACCGGTTCTCTAAGTCAAATCTTAATACTATTGAAATGTTATGTAAGGTAGCGAGATGACGACTATAAACCCGGTTCTCTAAGTCAAATCTTAATACTATTGAAATGTTATGTAAGGTAGCGAGATGACGACTATAAACCGGTTCTCTAAGTCAAATCTTAATACTATTGAAATGTTATGTAAGGTAGCGAGATGAACGACTATAAACCCGGTTCTCTAAGTCAAATCTTAATACTATTGAAATGTTATGTAAGGTAGCGAGATGACGACTATAAAACCAGTTCTCTAAGTCAAATCTTTGACTAACTTACTCATAGGAAAGCATAAGCTCGTTATAAACAATATAAAACCTGGATTCGAATCCGATTAAGATGCACTCTGTGATTCGATAATTTGTTACCATATGCAACTTTGTAACTTATAAACTAAACCTAGTAGCTAATTTGTCGAGAAAAGTATTAAAAACTAGTACCAGTCTAGGCTTGCAGACACGAAGAAACTACATTAACAGTCAATTAATTATTTCCTGGGTGGTTTTGAGTTTTACAGTCGTTATTAAGAACTATTACCTAGATGAATGCATGCATTTTACTCCTTACCTTCGTCCTCGCATTCAACGTGAAAAGTAAAAACGCGGTTTCCTACTCGTACTCGGTTATGCATAAAATGTGGTCCATCTAATTTGTTGTCTTTACATAGTTTCGTTAAAATCTGTGTAGGCTTCATGGGATCCCGCCACTGGTTCGGCCCGGACCTGTTCATAAATAATTGTTTTGTTTTTTAACTTGATCTTCAATAATTAGCTGTTACATAAACTAATATTATTGTACAAAAGCCAACGATTGGACAACATAGAACTAGAAACTGTCGATACCCAAAAAATAGAAATAAAAGGTGTTTTTTATCGCCCTTTATCAAGTGAGTGTAGATCAAAAATATAAAAGAAGCTGATTTAAATGTATAGCGTTCTAAATGAATATTAAGAGCAACAGTTCTAATAAAGTATGTGCGTAATGTGATAGCCAATTTGAATATATGTATATATATATATGTGCATTTATATGTTAAATTAACATAAGAGTATTGATATACGCAATTGAATAACTTTAGATATAACGTTAAGAAATTTTAAGGATGGAATTAAGGTTATCTTTCGTAATAACATAGCTTTCTTATTTTAGAATGATGTCACATTGAAAACTTTATTGTAGTCTTCACATAAATATCTCTTTCAAAATTGGTGCACAACTAAATCCGTGTTCAACCCAAAATAAGGTAAATAGCTTTACGTTTCATATCGCTGAGCAATACCACAGGTAGCACGATGACGACTATAAAACCGGTTCTCTAAGTCAATCTTTGTTTCTCCAATCAAGTCATCGCTTCCTAGCAGGTCCCAGTCAAAAATCTGCACTGTCAACAAGGAGTCTTGAGGAAATGTGGCCTCAAACTCAAAACACCTGAAATGCATTGTTGAGGTTTAGTACTTGGTGCTGAAGATTTAGTCTTTAGTAATCCCTATTATCTACTAGCGTTTAGGTGTTAGAGAACAAACCTAAAACTTCCAATAATAGCAGATATTTATATTGGAATGTGATAACTCCAGTTCTGCAGCTAATCAATTTTTATGTTCTATAAATGTATAAATTATATAATATGTAAATTGTCAGAAATTAGAACTTTAACAGAGTATTTTACCTAAAGTATGTAAACATTATTTTGACCATACAATTTTTATATTTTCTACAATTATGCCTGATACTGCGAAAGATACTTAAAGTATGAAACCAAAAAAGATCATGGGAGTAGTTATGGACTTTTCATTTCTATGGTTTTTATTTCTTCCTGAAACGATGTTTCATGTTCTAAGGTGATCCCTTTTTGAGGCTTATTACTGTCAGGAGAATTAATTGTGTTGTGTTGTTTTTATAAATGGTCCTGGGAATATATCATGGGTGGAGCTCTGAGTTTTCTTGACCCTAACTGGTATGTGGCGTACATCTCAGAAGGGATTATTGTTGATGCTGATTGGCTGTGTGTGATGTGAGCTAATCTTATTTTGTTTATAATTCAGAATACGAAAATTGATATTTGGTGAGAATAATTCCAAAAAACAAAACTGCTTGCAGACAACATCACTGTCAAAAAGAACCCATAAATTAGCTAAGACTTCAATACTAAAACTAATCTGATTGATAACCCATAGGTTTTAAAGAGAATGTATAAAAATAATTTATTTGTTTGTTTGTTTTTGAAGTTAAGCACAAAGCTACACAATAGGCTATCTGTGTTCTGCCCACCACGGGTGTTGAAACCCGGTTTCTAGCGTTGTAAGTCCGCAGACATGCGCTGTGCTACTGGGGGGCGTAAAAAGAGTTCCAAAGGTTTATATTTTTATTTACTGAAATAACTCAATGCCAATAAACATGGATTTGTAATCAACTTTCAAGATAGAAAATGTCAACTTCGGTGCACACTATCGACTTCGTAAAAACCAATGTTTCAAAATCGATCAAATAGTCCAAAACACTAAGAGAGTATACACTATTGTTTTAGGTATCGTGAAGCGACAGTCACTAATCTTCAATAATGCTAAAGCCGGCCTGTAAACAGTCCTTAACATTTTGATATCATACATACATTCGAGCTTCTAAACATCTATACTGCGAGGCATTCTTTAAAATAAGGACGTACATATGTTTTAGTGACAAAAGGTACGACGAAACTATGTAATTTGTATCAAATTATTCGCAAACAAACAAGCAAATTGTATCCTATATCTAACTGTCATGGTTAGTTTTATAGAAACCCAGAATTCTGGGAAATGAGAACATCAACCCTGCTTGCAAAATATTTCAGTCGTTCAGAATTTAGTAGATTTTCACCTGAAACTATCACATGCAGTCTAAACAGTAATTTTATCCATTGTTTTTAACTTTGAAAATATTTTATTGTAGCGACATTGAGAAAGAAATAGGCTGTATAAACATTATATTTCAAATACACGTTAAGACATCAAATGGAATAATCAAAGTTTGTTTCAACTATAACATATATTACAAAATTTGAATTACGTTCACTCACTTTCCAAAAATGGGATTCAGTTGCTTAGAGATGTAATTCTCCTTATCACTTGTTCGTTTTGAACCAAGGTTAATAACGATGTAAGGATCAGCTTTTCCATTCAGATCTGCTGGATGAAGGTCTGAAGCCTTTCATAAGAAAATATTGAGATTTCCAAGTTCGGTAAAATGCAGATACATATAGAAGTTTTACAACTTTATGAGATAGAAATCTTTAATTGATGTAATATACAAACTTATTGGATAATATATTATATTCACAACGTGAATGCCGAATAATTGTTGTTGTTGTTTGTTATTAAGCACAAAGCTACACAAAGGGCTATCTGTGCTCTGCCCACCACGGGTATCGAAACCCGGTTTCTATCGGTATAAGTCTGCAGACATACCACTGTGTCACTGGGGCTATGATGAAAAAACTAAAGAAATTACTGGAATCTTAGCCACGTTGCAAAACGTTTTGAGATTTAATTTTTACAGGTTTTAGATTTTCGAACTGTACGATCGCAAACCTGGTACACTAAATACATCGTAAAATAATCGACAGTTCATATATGTAAAGGAAAACCAGAATTTGTGACGTAAAGTAATAGACTTATGGTTGGAAAAACGAAGTATTGTAATGATGAAAAACATACTTGTACCAAACTTTTTTTTGAAACAGTATCGGTAAATTCTGCGATCAAGGTATATGACAACAATTTAACTAAATTGAATCTGATATGAGAACAGTATTTGAACACAATTTTTTGAAAAAGAAAGTGAGCATTTCTAACACACAATAATATTCAACGGTTCATTTCCAATTGTTTCGTAAACTTAAGAGATTTCTAATATTGTTTCGATTTTTCTGTATTCTGAACTAAATTGTTTTCATGTTGTTGTTTTTTTATCCTAGAGTTCGCGGTTGATGAAATAAATGCGTTATGAAACATTCGACATATACATATAATAGTGTTTTTAGTCCTAATCACTGATGTTATTTTCTTCAATTGTCGCAATTATTTAGTTCACACAAAGATTATAGAAGAAAATTATGATTACAATGTTTCATACCTTGACAACATACACTCTTACTAAAACATGAATCGGGTCGTTACTAGGCAGGCCTTGAAAAAGCCCATATTGTGGGTCGGCTCCAGTGATGGTATGATCTTGAATATTCTTTGGAAGAGGATAACGGTAGACTTTCAGAGACCCCTGATGAAAATAAAGGGTATTACATTTCGTTTTTTTAATTCTATTTTTCCCATTATTGTATAAAAATCTACAAAAGTGAAACGATAAACTGATAACGTAGATTTTAATAAAAGAACAAATTTAAACATTTTAAAAACCACAGTGTCAAAAAATAATAAACATGTAGCTATTTGCTTTATTTTATTTACTTTTAATTACATTTTGGAGAAATATATAAGTTGTGGGTGATTATTTACTATATAGTTCTGAGTTTCACAATAAAAAAAACAAGACTGACTACTTGTGGAGCAAAAAAATAGTTTAGTCAATTTACATAAAAACTTCTTCAACAGAACAATTGTCTGTTACTCCAAGAAGCAGACAGTAAGGGAACAATTATCTGTTACACAAAGAAGCAGACAGTAAGGGTACAATTACCTGTTACACAAAGAAGCAAACAGTAAAGGGAACAACTATCTGTTAAACAAAGAAGCAGACAGTAAGGGAACAATTATATTTGTTGTTAAGGCCCTTACTGTCTGCTTCTTTGAGTAACAGACAATTGTTCCCTTACTGTTTGCTTCTTTGTGTAACAGATTATAAACACTTCAGAAACAATGATGGTTAGTTCTCAAGTGTACAAGTTACTGAAGAAAGCAACTTTTTCTTCTTGCTGACTACAGCACAAATCGTTTATTCCTATTACTAAAGTTAATCACTTATCATAATAGGGATTTAATATGCTAATGCAATGGCTTGTTACCACAGACGACTGTTTACAACCTATGGCGTATTACCAGGGACGACTGTTTGCAAACTACATCTGTGATTCATAGTGAAATCTCGACTATTCTACAATGCATTGCCTACACGATAAGGTGTGAGGATAATGTTAGAGTCCTTTTCAAGGAAGGATATTTATATAGCGAGATTATATGATTTAGAGCCAAAGAACAAAACATGTTGAAGAATGGAGACTTGAGACTTCTATATGTAAACTGAAAAATTCATGTAACAAAACGTTTAGAACAACAATGTGCTACGAAACCACATTCCAAGTCAATCTGGAGCAACACTACCATCTGCAAAGTGAAAACTAAAGAAGTACCTCCAATAAAAAAGTACTGTAATTTATCTAAACATACCGTAAAGAGCTACAACTGAAAATCGATGTATTTTCATTATAAAACTTGGCCAAAAAATATTCAATAACAAAATTCCATTTAAACACTTGCCTGTCATATCCTCCAATGCAACTCTACTAATGTTTGTGTCTTTAGTCTGCTAAAAGTGGTTTTGAAAGCTTTATGTTTAGTAGAATGTCTGTATAAAGTTTGTAAAGATATGGGGTCTAATGTTTAGTAGAATGTCTGTATAAAGTTTGTAAAGAAATGGGGTCTAATGTTTAGTAAAATGTCTGTGTAAAGTTTGTAAAGATATGGGGTCTAATGATTAGTAAAATGTCTGTGTAAAGTTTGTAAAATTATGAGGTCTAATGTTTAGTAGAATGTCTGTGTAAAGTGTGTAAAGATATGGGGTCTAATGTTTAGTAGAATGTCTGTGTAAAGTTTGTAAAGATATGAGGTCTAATGTTTAGTAGAATAGTCTGTGTAAAGTGTGTAAAGATACTGGGGTCTAATGTTTAGTAAAATGTCTGTGTAAAGTTTGTAAAGATGTCTAATGTTTAGTAAAATGTCTGTGGCATTTAATTGTTGATGTGATGAGAAGTCGCGTCTGAAGTCAACATCTTTACAAACTTTACACAGACATTTTACTAAACATTAGACTCCATATCTTTAGACACTTTACACAGACATTCTACTGAAACTAAACATTAGACCCCATAAAATGTCTGTGTAAAGTTTGTAAAGATGTCTAATGTTTAGTAAAATGTCTGTGTAAAGTTTGTAAATATATGGGGTCTAATGTTTAGTAGAATGTCTGTGTAAAGTTTGTAAAGATATGGGGTCTAATGTTTAGTAAAATATCTGTGTAAAGTTTGTAAAGATACGGGGTCTAATGTTTAGTAAAATGTCTGTGTAAAGTTTGTAAAGATATGTAGTCTAGTTGTTAGTAAAATGTCTGTGTAAAGTTTGTAAAGATATGGGGTCTAATGTTTAGTAGAATATTTGTGTAAAGTTTGTAAAGATACTGGGGTCTAATGTTTAGTAAAATGTCTGTGTAAAGTTTGTAAAGATATGGGGTCTAATGTTTAGTAAAATATCTGTGTAAAGTTTGTAAAGATACTGGGGTCTAATGTTTAGTAGAATGTCTGTGTAAAGTTTGTAAAGATATGGGGTCTAATGTTTAGTAAAATATCTGTGTAAAGTTTGTAAAGATATGGGGTCTAATGTTCAGTAGAATGTCTGTGTAAAGTGTCTAAAGATATGGAGTCTAATGTTTAGTAAAATGTCTGTGTAAAGTTTGTAAAGATGTTGACTTCAGACGCGACTTCTCATCACATCAACAATTAAATGCCAGGTTTCGTTTCTCTTAGTTATTTTTATATACCCTTAATATAGTAATCAGAAGATGTTTTTAATATGCAAGACTTTCTCATCACTCAAAGTTTCAAACAGAAATGCCGTACCAAATCACATTCATCGAAAGCGTATACAGGATTTATCAACCATCGTAAGATTTTTAAGTTTTTATTTGTGCTCAAAGCCATCTAGTGGTTGATCTAATATTGCACCTAGGATATCTACATTAGTATGATACATTACATATTTTATCTTTGAACCTGAAAAACTGTTGTAATGTACTTTAGGTTTAGAGATAAATACAAAATTGAAGAAAAACAAGACAGTTGTACGTTTCACAAATACATCATTTATTCAAGACCACGAATTCGACAGTAAAGGCATCATCAGGTACTATACTGACGAAACTATGGTCGGGAATAATTGATGTACTTGTGAAACGCACAACTGTCTTGTTTTTCCTCAATTTTGTAATTATGGAGTTTCACCAAGTACCGACGGTTTCAAGTATCAATTAAACATAAATCTTAAATCAGTTGATAAATCCCACGTCAATTTTGTAGGATTAGTGTATATTTGCCAGTATGTGACAATAATAGTGACAGAGATTGTTGAGGAACATTCCACTTTAAATGTTTAAAATTATCAACAATGTTATTTGGAAGACCATTTATTTTAAATGTTTAAAATTATCAGCAATGTTATTTGGAAGACCATTTATTTTAAATGTTTAAAATTATCAACAATGTTATTTGGAAGACCATTTATTTTAAATATTTAAAAATTATCAACAATGTTATTTGGAAGGCCACTTTTGTAAAAAAGAAAAGAAAAAAAAAGATTCTAATGATTTCAAATTACTTGTGTAAGGATCAGTATGTTTAGGGATTTTATAATTTTGAAGAATCAGTATCTTAATCATATTTGTTCACGAAATCTGTAATAAAAGTGTCAAAGTTAAAGTTTAAATTAGTAAATCTATGTTTGTGATACGCATCATTGTTCTTGTTTATTAAGATGTACATAAAAGCAAGTTGGTGTTGTAAATTAGGTTTTACTCTGAATTTTGTACCATTGTGTTGATATTGTGATAAACATATTAAGAATCACCTAATATGTCCAAATTATCATCAACACACAATCTTTTAATCGCTTTTTTTCACGGTAGCTAAAGAACAAGTTTAGAAGCGACGGTGCTAGCTTTCGTCACTTCAGTAACCTGGTCCTGATCAGTGTCGTTAAACAGATGACAAAGAAACCATATGATCTCTGCGGTAGTTAAGCTACAGTTAACATAATGAATATTGTTTATTTCATTAGTTATCAAGTTGTGATAGAAAGAATAAAAATAGATATATATAGCTGAATACTTGGGCAGTATCTTTTTTTTCCCCATTTCAAATATCCTAATGAGAAGTGAATAATATAACTTCTTACTTTTAGGTTTTACTTTACTTTCAACAAGTTTTGTTTCTTCAAATTTCACAGACATTTTCTCCCTTTCTGATTAACTTCTTTTATGGTCGAAAATTATTTTAACACCAAGAGTATCCAACAAAAAAATGAACGCATTTTATTCATTTAGTAACTAATCTATGATTTTTCTCACATAAACCTACTCAGATTGGAAGTTACGTATGTATAAATGTACATGTATAATATTTCCGTTTTCTTTAATAATTCTGGCCACGAAGGAAATGAAAAGTTTCATATAATTTGATCCATACGTTGTCACTCGAATACCATTTTTTGATTGACTAACTTTTACGACACCCTGTAGGTTGGTGTAGCGTATACAAATCAGCACACTATACATTAGGATATATTAACTGTTTGTCTTTGTCCACAATTTATTCCTCTATAATCAGCTGTCTAAACAGTTTTACTTGGCCCTTCTATACGCCACTATTCATGGACTTTACTGCAAAATCAAAGATTCGTATTTATTCTAATTTGTCTGGAAACACCTGAAGGCTATAAAACTCGGTAAAAAAAATACAAAATAGGCAAATTAAAATTTACCTTAAATATTCCGACAACCCGACTCTGGTCATCTGTTTCGTAACCTGTTTTTTTGCCTCTGTAGAGTTCAAAAGAGTGAAGCCATTCTTTGAAACTGTTAAACTCTGGAACTTGTTCTAGTTCATGAGGATAGACCTGAAACAGGTTAGAAATGTTACATAAGTGTTATGAAACATATCGAGCTAAAAACAAATTTATTCAGAATGATTTAACTCCACAAACAGAATATACATGATTTGCGTAAAACGTAAGATTTATTTATTTTTCTAGGAAATTAACCCAGGAATCTTACCCAAAATTCGTGCTTTTTTAAAATATTTTAAGTTATATATAAGACGGTTTTGTTGTTGATATTCATCTCGCTATTTACCTTTAGTAATGATTCATTATTCATGTGTTTTCTCTGGGACTTTGGTGACAATTTCTGAACAAATCGAACTGCTGTTGAAGTAGATTTGAAAGATCTTGTCTTCTTATCAGAATCAGAGGAGTTGTACTCGTGTTCTAGTCGTTCTAGTTCCTTCTCCATACGTTTTGCATCTTTGGCACTCAGTTTGTTTCCTAGTTGAGTGAAATCACATAACATATATAAAGCATAAAAGTTAGTTCACAGAATTGAACGATGTACATCTGAATATTTGTTTGGGCTACCCACCACATTTTCCCTGGAACTTTAGAAGGCTTAGAATGTATCTAAACCTCACAATTGGTTTTAATGAGAAACGTTAATAATATTAATATTTTATTCTTATAAATAAATAGATTTGACATTAATCTCATTATTTTAAAAGCAAACTACTTTTGAGCCCTGAAGATATTTAAACCGAATAACATATATCAAACTATAGCTTGTTTTGCCACAAGCCAATTCTTTAGAAATGTTCTAGATATGTTTATCTCAGACAAGAAAAAGTTACAGCCTAGGATTTATCAAACATGTTTTTCAGCGATTGTAAGTATGCTGGTAAAATATTACGATTAATTAATATTAACTTCCGATCAGAACAAGCTACCGACTTAGAGCGAAACTCAAAATCAACCTTGTAATGAGTATAATTAATTAAACATTACTGTACGTTCTTACATGCAAAAATAGTATACATTGTATCATTAGTTGAGTACCCTCGCTGTTGGCGATGTTTTCGGCCATAATCCCAATTATATATATAATGTACAACAGAGTATTATGTTCGCTTGTAGCAATTTATAGTTATAGCTGGACTATGACCGTAATCCTATGTGCTTTTCGAATACTTCCGCCATCCATAACATCGAAAACATTCTCCGCTCCCCTGAAGAACGCCACGCAGCAGTTGTATTTAAGTTTATACAACTTAATTATAAGTATATGAATAGGTTAACAAACGCTTTTAACAGCAAGTGTCCATATCATTTCAGCCAAAACAATCGAGTTTAATTACACTGTTAATGTTTCCTCCACAAACAAAGTCGTCATAAAAGAAAAGAAAAGAAACCAATACTAAATCCATAGGCAGTGAATTAATGTGGATGAAAATTTTTAACCTAAGCATTAAATTGAGGAGTTCATATACAATGTTTACATATAATTATTGAATATTGGAACTTGTTATTACAATTACTTATTCAGAATATTTTTTAGATCGAACGTGGTTTTGTTTGAAAGACGTCACTGAAATAATTAATAAAAAGACAGGAACATATTTCATGCGACAGAGGATAAAGAATCAGAAAAATTAGATTATAGGTAAGATGCTTCTAATGCTGATGTTAGAAATTATGTTGACGATTACTTTTAGCAAAACTGAACAAGAATGTTACTCCTGGCCCTGAAATATCAGCTGCTAGTAGCAGAAACTTGTTTAGCAATATACTTAAAACAGTTACCATTGATTTTAATCGGACTGATTGAGAGGAGTCAATCGTTGCACCTAAGTTAAAGATCACTGAGGACAGACACAAACTAGAGATGTAACAAATACAAAACTGCAGACTCCTGTGTTATCTACAAACCGTATAACGTATGAAGATGTTTCTGGCATATCATTATAATTTAAACTAAATTTCATCAAACTTACCTCCTTCTGGACTAAACAGTTCCCCATTAGCAGAAACGGGTGATGATGATGACATAAGTCTGTTATCATGTGGATCTGTGATTACATTACTGCTATTTTTCTTTTCCTACATTAAATGAAAAAAAGGAGAATATCAAGTGTCACACTTAATTAAGTGAAGTGTTCGACCCTGTGGAATATCAAGTGTCACACTTAATTAAATAAAGTGTTCGACCCTGTGGAAAATCAAGTGTCACACTTAATTAAATAAAGTGTTTGACCCTGTGGAAAATTAAATGTCACATTTGATTAAATAAAGTGTTTGACCCTGTGGAAAATCAAGTGTCACACTTAATTAAATAAAGTGTTCGACCCTGTGGAAAATCAAGTGTCACACTTAATTAGATAAAGTGATCAACATGGTGAGAGATCAAGTGGCTAATTACAGAAAATGTTCAACATGGTGCAGATGAAAAATAAAGTAGCACGCTTAATAAAACAAAGTCTGTGCGTGAACAAACATGTAAGTTTCAGTTTGGAGACTAAAAAAACTAGTTTATCGACTATTTTACATTTCAAAACAGATATTTTCCTCACACAGATATTGAGATTTTGAAACAATTTTACGGTAACGCGTGATGTTTTTCACTTCACTTGTACTTTATTCAAAAATCATCAAAAATACATTAATCTTATTTTTTGTCAGTATTCTGTTTTGTTATATATCAGGTGATTTCTAACAGTTCTTATCTTCAATTACTCCATCACACAAGATAGAACTTTTAAATGAATCACAACTTGTCAGTTTAGTGTCAGGCAGATGAGTAATGATCATAGTTCATACAGAGTCACTCTACAAATATTCAGAAATGTAGCTTATGCTCATCTTCCGTTGATAATCCAATCAGAAAAAATTAGTTAATTCTACTCTGTACAGACTATAGATCAAATGTCACCCAGTTATGTGTCTAGCTTAGTATTTTATGATAAATTACACCCAATGAATATCAGCTTCTAATAAGTATGTTTGAATAACTTATACAAGTCTTCATTTATACTTCTTATATAAAACTCATGTTTCTTCATAGTCCAATATGCTATGATTAATATATGTAAGTAAAAGTATAGACTTAATAAGTATCACACGTACTGAAACATCTACTGACAATAAAATAATGGTTTTACTTTTAAAGCATTCAAAACTTTTATGATACATGCAAATTAATTATTAACTGAAAACACAATCAACTGTATTAGCTGTCTCATTCGACTAATAGTTTTACTTGTAACTTTTAGGACATATGATTAAATGTAGACTGCAATGTTGATGAAGTATGTTAAAACGATAACCAATGTTTAAAAATACAACTGTCTTGTGATATAACTTACAAAAGCAAACAGTAGCTGTGATAAATATTAAATATATATGTGTTAAAGTAAATACAAGTTGAGATCTTTAAGCAGTTCGATAATCTCTTATGGAACTATAGTAACGCTGTCCTTGGTCCGTCTATAGTAACACTGTCTACTTATAGAACCTTGGTGACATCATCCACCTAGAGAAACAACGTCTGCCTAGTGACAACATTCGCCTATAGCAAAATATCCTCTACCTATGTTGCCATCCCCACTTCTATCCTCTTGCAACACACCCTCTGGTATGAACTATATTGTCACCCCTCCCACCTATCAAAGCGCCCTCTGGTGCAACTGTGTGGCACTATTACGTTATTGTCTAGCCCCGCCCCTATCGTCTGAAGTGCAGGAATAACTAGTATCGTATAATCCAGGGTTCGAGAAGTAACGCCATTGAATATACTTCACAATTTCAGCTAAGGGAGCAAATCTAAATTGAATTTAATACTCTTATTCGGTTTAAACAGCCGTACAAAGCTCTCATATCTGCTGATGTTGTAGCCTGGTAAATTCTCTGGTAAGTAGTTCAAAATGAGGGACTGCTGTACTTGAATACTTGGGTTAGTGGCCTAGCTTTTTAGATCACCTCTACACCATTCACCATTCAGGTTCAAAATTCTAATTCCCCGAAACAATTAATAATAATAATCGTTTTGTATTTAGCCTATCTCATAATATCTTATTTCTATAAGGCAATGTACTCTATGAAATTGCAAATTGTGTTTTTCGAGTAGATATCATTGAATCAATTTTTATATTGTCGTTGGAAAAGTTTATTTTGAATTATATTTACAGACCATAAAGATGTGTTCAGAATATGTTACATCCCTTGAACAAAAGTTTTTTTTAAGAAGAGTTAAAACCACGCTTTTAATATCCCCAGATTTTGTGAATATATTATAATTCTTTGGGGCAGTAATGAGATGTAGATAGTAAAAATATCGAAAAATAATAATGAATAAAACATCCAAAGTTCATGAGGGAGTTTACGACATCTTATGAAGTCATATAAAGTTAATTAAATGACATCTTCTACACAAAACCAAAAATGTAAATAAAAATTGTGCTTACTTTCATCGCTGCTTCTACTGACGCAAAATATCGCGTCCACCAATCACGGCTCTCCTCATCTTCCTCTACGTCATCCACACGTTGCTTCTTCTTACGTTTGTTCAAGTCACTTTTAACCTCTTTCTTTGACTTAGAAATCTAATCACAGATAACGTATATGTATATAAATAATTTGTCCCAAACAACTTCCTCAATGTGAATATGAGTTATTTTTATTCTACATAGATAGTAAAATAACGCCTTGGTAAAAATAACAAACATTTAGAAAGTCCATATTAAGTTCTCATCATTACAATCAGTTCTGGACTTTTTCATGTGATTTCCTTTGCTACACATTTACTTCTTAACGAACTTTTGTTAGAAGCATCTAACATAAGTATTTGGTATTGAGGATACCAGAAGGAAAATATTATTAATCGGGAAACTCTTAGATCATCACAGTGACAGGTAACAAATACCACTAATAACAAACACGTAGTTCTTATTAAAGTGATTAGATAAGTAATCCCTAATACTTTAAACATGTTTTGATTTTGTACTAATAAAATCAACAACATAAGCAACTGAGCATGAGTTATGTAAAACATGGTAGGAAAGTTTGAGAATATAATATCTAATAATATCTTGAAAGGAAAGTTAATTATTAAGAGTATACTACGTTTGTGATATTAAATACTAGCTGGAGTATCCGTTCCCTGGATGGAAGTTATATAAATTCATGATTAATGAAAGAATATGTTAAGACCTGAAAGTTGCTTCCCTGATATGTAACTGTAAAAAACGTCCATAAAAATAGCAAAACACAAAATGTGAAATCGCAACTTTGCATGTATCACCGCATGGACGCAGAAAACCGTCATGCCAAATTTAGTAAATAGCAATCGAAAGGGGGCAGAGTAGTGGTAAAAAACGACCATAACAACCACAAAATGCAAAACTGACAATTTGTACGTATCTCCCCATGAACCCATCGAACCTCCATACCAAATTTGGTGAAGATCCATTCACACCCTACGAAGTAGTTACATGGACATACGAAAGACAACAGACAGTACTATTATACCTATATAGATAACATGTGATGCAAATATAGATGAATCACAGAATAAAAAAAAACGAATAACCAAGCAGTTTTCGGAAGATAAACTCTGAAGCAAAAAGACCTATCTTCTGAAAGCGTTCGGTCTATGGGGGTCTCTCGTTTTGTGAAGTACATAGTGTACAAATAGTTGAGTACAATATATTAAGGCAAGTATGAATACACGAGTCAGCAGTCTTTTAGTAACCGTGGTCAACAGTCGTGATGGGAGGGCGTGTATCGAAGTAACATTTTGACTTTGTTTACCGTTCGTAGGTAACGTAATGGCACCAAAAATCGATCGCTTTTATAAAAGGATATGAAACAATCCTATCTGTCGTAAAATATCCATATACTCAGACCATAAAGATGGATTGAGTTCGAAGATTTAGATTTTCCAAGACTGTTATATGACATCGGAAAACAAATAAATATGGATTAACTCGGAACTCCAGGACCGCAAGAAAAGAGACCTGCAACAAATCATGCCCCAGCTGTGTTAAGCAAAGTTCGGTGTTTTGTAAGAGATGAGAGTCCACGAATACAAAGGTCAGTGTGATGTGAAAGGCCGTCCATTTTTACTAGGTAGGCGTCAGTACACAGCATAATCAAGAAATATCTCTGTCTAAAAAAGCGACAAAAGTCACACGCTCACAAGTTCCTTCCACAACATGCCTGTTCAACCGTCGCATACCTCAAATAGATGGAGAAAGAAAACGTATTTATACTATTCTATATGAAGAGATACTGGACAAGTCTCCGGACATAGTGTCCGTGTACAACCCGACTGGTGAAATAGGTGTTGGTAACCATCGTCCTCTTACACTCCATGGCTTATGGAAAGCCTGCAGAGAGGAAAAGTGTACTCTAAACATGACGGCCTTACGGTGGAATCTTTTCAACAGTTCTAAGGGATAACAGGTTGTTAGAAATTAGTATTTGCCATGTTCAATCGGACGTGTTCGCTATTATTATACGTCTACGTGGGAAAACGTAAACAAGTTAGTTTAAGAAAAAAAGGATTTGTTAGGGTTTTTAATGATTAGATCTGCTGATTCTGTAGTTTTATGTTTCTACAAATGTTTAAATGAGAAACGATTTGTCCACATTCAGTGTAATACATTAAATAATTTTATATTTCTTGCATGCTTACTACGAATTGGTATCTTGACTTTGTTTCATTAGCTTTAAGCCTGAATAAATAATTTAATTATTTTCTCAAATTTCTTTTTTCCAATTTCAGACTCATTTTTATTTTTTAATATTTTCTTCTTAAGTTATAGGTTTACAAAATAATAATAATAATGTTATATTTTCTTTGTTCTTTTTGTATTTTTACATTTTTCTGTTTATTCCTCCTATGAAAAATTGCTAGCTTTAATAGATGACTAATATAAGACTTTTATTGTCCAAATGCAACGAGTTCTGATATTGAATGAAAGCTTGTTTGTAAGGGGTCTACAATGGGCAAAGTGTTACTCAAATGCTTATTATGCGCTTTACAATTAAATAAATGAAAATACACGATGCATTAATGAAGTGTTTCTGTTTTGTTTATTCCAGCCTCGACTGTTTCATGTTTAAGCCTTATACTTCTACATGTACATCAGAACAAGTAATTGTTTTGGTTTTGTTACTTTTACGGTTTAGTTTTGGAAGTGATGTGAAGAGGGTTCCTACACGTCTGTGAATAAGTTTCCATACACCTTCAACAATTTCTTTGTGTGGATATAGTTTTTCAAAAAGTCAAGAAAAAATACAAATATACGACAAAAATTTAGGAATTTATAATTAATTAATAAAGACGCTTCAAAAAGTGAGGTACTACAGGTTGCTTAAACTAAGCCATGCTTCTAATACGACATAATGTAACTGATTCGACTGAGAACATTTTTTTATCTGGTTTAATTATTATGCTTTGAAATAATATTTTGGTATCTTTCATAACTGGAAAAGTTTTTTGCAAAAAAAAAACAACAACTCAAGGAAGCTTGTATTATTGACGTACAAGTAGACTTATTATATAAAAAAAGAACTTTAAAATGGTCTTTAAAAGAAGTCTGTTTGTTTCTGGATTAGTGAAATTTAGTAAAAATATTTGACTTATTATTGTGTATAAGATATAAAAAACACTTCATAACCTTTATTATGTCTACCTGAAACAACCTTCCCTTTCTATCTACTTAAAACTCGCTTTGCTAGACTAAACATTTGAGGTTTTATAGCTGTTTTCGTTAGTAGTTAGTAACGTTCTTGCTCAACAAGTTGGAATGGGAAAATATTCAAACACTCACATTTGCATAGTCAAGGGTAATAACTGTTTCTCTTGGAAGCAGCGAGTTATCTTCATTATCCACGTCCATTGGTGCATCCATCGCGGGAACGGAAAGCGTCTGTTGATAACCTGCACCAAAGTATAAATATTCCCAGCAACAGTAAGAATCTCAGAAAAACTTCACCGAAAATAGGAAGTTCTGGAGAAGTGTAGATGTCTACAGATAAATGTGCTTCTAAACATGAAACGGAACTTAGAGAATAGATGTTGGATTAATTGATATTTTTGAAACCTGAAAACATTTGGCTTGAATACAATTGACTTTGACTTTGAAATTAATTTAAGAGTCCTCGTCTAGAATTGGTGAGAATTTCATCCACGAGAATTTCATATCAAAATCGCTTTCAATAACAGTACACTTAAAATGAAACACAAGTCAAGTGTTGGTCAAAGATATAAACACAAAACAGAACGTAATGTAATATCGTCTTTGGGCCTTCCACTTTAAAAGGACACGTTTGTTTGTAATTAAGCACAAAGCTACACAATGGGCTATCTGTGCTCTGCCCATCACGGGTATCGAAACCCGGATTCTAGCGTTGTAAGTCCGCAGACATACCACTGTGTATATGTGTGTGTATATAGTGTCAGTTGCTTGCAGAAAAACACATTCATCACTACTGGAGTTTGAATACATATTTGATTGTAATTATATATTAACATAAAAAAGAAGGTTACAATCACCGGAATTTACACGCGAGTTTCGAAAATGCCATTAGGTATGTTTTGGGGCTGAAATCCAGTCTCATTTCTTTAGACGAAACCTCTGACAACGGATAATATTAATGCATGCCTACAGTTAAATGTTGGTATTATAAATTGTTTGCCTCATGATGACTAAACAAGTCGAAATCTCACGTGAGAAAGAAAAAAAAACATTCAAGTTTCTTAAATATATTATAAGATGCTTTATATTAATATCCAGCGGTCAGTAATACTACAACCAACAAAAACTCCTACAGAAATTATACATTTTCCAGACTACAGTTGCTGAGAGATTAAAAAATGGAGTTATATTTAAAGATGTGTTATGAAGTAAGATTAACGTTCAAATGAAACAGTGAATTAAAAAAAAATAAAATACTCGCATCTATAACAAAAAGAAGTGAATAAAAAACAAGTTGAAACCAGAAATAAAATTTATTATGAATTAAGGTATTATGTTTTTCGAATTTTTAGTATTTATGGATATAACATCTTCAACACCATCAATTCATCCAAAGAAGTTTTAGCACTATCTTTCCAACTTCCTAAGACTATTTTTTTTTTCAATATTTGTTTTTCATGCTATACATGAATTTTGAGTAATTTAAACAAGATTCTTAAAAACAACGAAAGTTTCAGTCATTATTTATAATATAATTCAACGTAGTCTGGCGGTTAAGTGGTAATCAAGAATAAGAAACCTTCAATGTGTCTGAGAATATAGACGTAGAGTTAGAAGTTGAGTAATAATAGTTAAAACAATTAAAACGCTACCTGGTGTCAAGAGAAGGGATTTCTTCTGCTCACCATCCCGGTCCTTTTTGGTAACTGGTTTGTACATGAACTTTTGGAGTGAACTTATGGAGTGGGTTCCGACTAAGGTAAACCTGCCAAAACTTCTACAGTCTATCACCCTAATAGTTAGTGGTGGACAGTACAGCTCTTGGTCTGGTAGTTCCTGGACAATTCAATCATTTCTATCAACAAATGTTTGTCATTCCAAAACGTAAATAATATATAAGCACTTGTATTCTAATTGTATATAACTTGTTACATTAGGAAGGTACCTGTTGAGTTTTATCATTCAATAGATATACGAAAATAATAAATACGTAAATCACATAAACTTTGTGAAAATAGAACTTTATTTAAGTCATTGACGCATTTTCTGCTATAATGCTATCTAATAAACACACCTCAGGTGTGAAAAAAAAGGTGCGGCCAAAAAAGGATTGAAAGTGCGACTTAAAGGAATGAAATCAAAACTGGTGGCCAAACTGGTAGCTGCACTTATGGAAGACTTATAAGAATTTTCAAATATTCATTCATTAGTTAACTAGGTTGCGTTTTTTGTTCAACTTGTGGCATGATAGTGGGTAAAACAAAATAATTTTGTTTGCTTGGCCTAACCAGTACTCGTGGATCAGAACGTCCTTTCACCCTATAGTTTTGATGCTCTAAATCAGCCGCCTTTAATCCGAACGACATAAAACTAAAAATGGTATACCTTTACTATTAGGTGAAGTTTTAGTAAAAATGTTAGACCAATAGCTCATGTGATTTTTTGTGTAGGCGTGCGAAACTTTTTGGTCAAAATTGAGCGGATTTTGTTGAATAACTGTGTACCTGTGGCTTATATTTAGACCAAATTTAACATCTAATTGTAGGTTGTAAAGATCTATTAGTATACCAGATTTGAAAAAAAAAATCCATGAAAAGTAAGTATGTTTTTATATCAGATGAAAGTTTCCGTACTGTTTTGTACGAAGAAAAAGAAATAGATAGAAATTCAATCAAAATTTGAGATTTTATATCTTATGTATTTCTTAATTGTTTGCTTTGAAAGCTAGTATGTGATGTAAAGGTCCAGTAGAACACATTCATTGAAAATATGTAATATTTTGTATTACCACAGTCCCAGTTACAGAAGGTGGAATATCGCTAAACTATCACTCAATGTGGCCGTACGTTACATTACCGTGTGTCTTGGTAAGAGTATTAATATCTGGTGGAACATAAACTCTTCCTTACCGTAAAAGCTGTATCTTGTAAAAGTGTTAAAATGTTTAGATTAAACTTCCTTATTCTAAAGAACTTATTACATTTAGCAACATCTACTGATGATGTTAACACTGAATATGAAGTACAAAACGGTAGCTTTATCGAGCGCATTGTGGTACTTTCTGCTACATTATTTTTTTTTCTTGAAATTACATTAAAGTCTCTATGTAAAAAATATTATTTTTAATACGTAAGTTTATTCCTGAGAATAACGAAAGAAAGTAATTATAGTACATTATTTAATACAAAAATATGAAGAATCTTTTATAATTTACTCAAAATATATTCGATGCTCTTTAACCCGTAAAATCATCTTAATAAACGTGATTATATGTAAATCGTTATAATAATGATACTTAGAAATACTTCATAATATAACTATATAGTTACCATAATCTGACATTAACATTACATATACACAAATTGCAAAATCCCTGTATATCAGAAATTATTACCAACATTGTAATTCGTTCATCACTGGTATAATAAAAGTTTTAGTGAAGAGTCGCCAGTTGTATAGAATCATTTGTCAAATACTCCAGTAATAATTCATTACACTAACCACATCAAAATGCTTGACTGGCGTGGTAAAATTGGGGTTTTTCTTGTAGTTCAGAATTACAGACGACTGCAGTACCTTCCCTGCACACTCAATGTCTGCCCGGGGTCTGTCTACTGTCATCAAGTGCACACGTTTCAAGTCTCTCATGCCCCAGAAGAGAACCTTGTATTTTAAAGTAAAGCATGTTTTCTCATATTTGAACTCACTGGTAACACTGCTCAAGTGAATAAAGTTAAATTAAATTAAATTGAATTAAATGCATTTATCTGCTTCAGTTTTAAGCATAAGTAAAAATGGAATAAATGGAAAAACGATCATAATAACAGAGTTAATAATTTAGTTGAACTGGTATTAATCATATGTATAAACGAAAAACAAAGATTATTTGTAGTAGCAGTAAGTATACCAGATATGTTGCGCCATCTATTTACACATACAAGTAACAGGAAGTGTTATAAATCAGAAACCTATCTATAGGTGCTATATTCGCTGAAATTAATATATTTTTATTATAGTATTCATTTCTTAAGGTAAACCATATATTTATATTAAAGCATAGCTATTTTTCTAGGAGAAATTCCTTACGGTTTAAGAGAAAACTCTATTCTAAGAACTTGCCTCAATACGATATTTTGAAAGCGTAGGTCTGATCCCTCGTGGAACAGGAAGCACAGGACCTCTGTCGGACCTCCAGAGGTTTTCCTTCGGCTGCGGGAGCTCCGGTATATCACCTTTTTCTTCTGTTTCAGAGAGCTGGATAAAAATTAACAAAAATCAGAAATTTTGATTTTAGTCTGTTACTTTTCTGTTAAAATTATTCATAATTACATTACTAGGAATGCGCTACGCAGTGTCTGTGTGAAGCATATATTACTAATCGTTGGCTTTCATTATAGGTCTTTAAAGTACTTCCCATGCACAATAATAATTTAGAAGACCACTGTAAATTGGTGTGTGTTTATTTATTAATCAAATAATAGTTGCCAACAAGTTTGTTATTTTTCTTATTCACAGACACGTTGTTAAAAATGTCCTGCGTATAATTTAAGCTTCGGCATTTAGCTGTCCTTTAGACCAAACTCAGCATTACTGGCATGCTGTTTCCCTTTCTGAATCGTTTCTTTGTCGTATTGTTTTTCCCATTAAAACCACGAAGTAAAAGATCTGGGTTTCTTTTTGACTAGTCTCAGGTAGGTGAGTGATATTTATTACAAAGAGCTGTAGATCCAGTAAAATAAGATCAGGGTTTTTATACTTTTCCCATTGCATGTAATTGAGAAAAAATATGTGGTTTTTAGAAAACCCAGACAACTTTATAAACGTATGGTTGTAATTATATTTCTCGCCCAATTACTACTGCATAACTGGATAAAAAATGTGTTGGTCAACTATTCAAACAAAATACATAGGTAGAACATGTAGGATCTTACTACAGTCTCTTTAAAAATGCTAAATACCTGTAGGAGTTCAAAGGTAGCTAAAAGCTCTCCCGCTTGCTCGGAGCCCCGATAGATGTCGTGCCACTCTAGGTTAGGTGGAAAATGAGGCTTCGCATAAGGTTCGTCCCTGAATTTCACGTATGGTCTCGCTAAAGTTCGTCCGATAAATTCAGATTTTCCCTACAAATCAAAAATACTGATATATATATGTGCTGTGATAACTGTTTCAGTTTATTAAATGACAGTATCAATTCAAAATGTTATTACAATTGAATAACGAAGACAAAAATAAAAACTTTCTTAAACACTATTAGTCCTAATAGTAACATTAACTAATATTCTCTTTACGGTTAAATTTATAATAGATTTTTCGTTTTAAAGTGAAATTCACAAAGTCTTAAATTTTAATTTTTCTTTAGGCTTTAAGTCTTACCCCACAGTCAACCTTATTCTATAACATTAAATATAGCATAATAAACTATAGTATTTATTTTAACAACTTCAAACATAAGTCATTAAACACTTATGTACAAATACGTCATAACGTGTCGTGAATATTAAGCTAGTGAGAAATTAAAATCTCACCACTTTATCCTGATCAAAAATTTCGACAACGATAACTGGAGGATCATCTTTAATATCTTCTTTGCTCCCGTATACCACAACTTCAGAAAAGATGAGCATTTCGTCCCACGTGGGACTCAAGGTTTCGTCAATTACCTGAAACATTCAAACACCACTGACTGAAGTTTTTAGAAATTATTTTTCAAAATAAAAATTACTTTTACGAGGAGTAAGAGAGAGGAAACAAGATAATTTTAACTCCACAAGAATAACACAACTAAAACACCTCTTTCTTATTATATCCACTAGTGAGTGTACATTAACAATTACATGTACTTTAATAATGTCAGACTCACAGTTAACTTAAATTCCAACTGAGAATCCACAACAGAGGGAGCTGTTCAGAATATTTTTCGAAATAGATTTAAGGCTCAAAAACAGAGAAATAACAAGTACGTGTGATTGTAGATTACAACGTTTTTCTGAAAAAGATTAATATTATTTTACTGTATTTGAATTAGATTAGCTAGAAATAAACAATTTTACGTTTTATTACGTTTGAGTTAGTAGCTCTAGGATATAAGATACTAGTTATTAAATATTATATTAAAATAAAGAATTATCAGAAGTGATTACTAAGAAAGATAATTTAGTTATTGTTTCTATTATTTAGTACCTGCTGATAATTTAATGCAATAGTAAATTATTCAAACTAGCTGCGGTAGTAATATAATTCTAAAAACTTATGAGCGAAATCAACCAATAATATGCTATAATATGTCAACCATACTACACCTGCCATATCTAGTGCCGACGTGACCTTTCGCTCGATACCTTGGTTCATCAAATCAGATGGAATACAACAGACATAGTAGTAGTTTAGGTGTTATTTATATCATACTACACCTGCCATATCTAGTGTTAACGTGACCTTTCGCTCGATAGCTTGGTTCATCAAATCAGATGGAATACAACAGACATAGTTTAGGTGTTATTTATATCATCATTTTCATGAACAACGATTATTATAGTGTAAGATTAAGTAAGTGAATTCTAATTATTGTTATTTTTATTTAAGTCATTTGCAAATCACATTATTTATTTTAGTTTTAACATGCCCCCTAGTGGCACAGCGGGATCTTTGCGAACTTACAACGCTAGAAACCGGGTTTCGATACCCGTGGTGAGCAAAGCACAGATAGCCCATTGTGTAGCATTGTGGTTAACTATAAACAAATTGTTTTAACACCAATTATTTGTTTTATTTGAATTAATTTTACTCTCATTCAGAGTTACTGGCGGTTAAATTAACCTATAGACAAAGATGAACATTTGGTCGTTCAAAAGTTATCCTTGCAAACAGTAAAAATGTTCTCACCCTTTACATTTAAATATGTTCCTATATTCAGTTTTTACAACTGATTAGCAAATATTACTGACCTTGAGCACTCTATGAGTAATATCAGAATTGAACTGAATAATGCAGATATTAATCCTTTGATAGAAAGTAGAAAAACTGAGAAACTAAACATAGCCACAGCACCAAATTGTAAAAAGGTTTTCCTCAAAGTTTTAAAGGAGGTCATACATTAGATATGCAAGCTTTCCTCTTCAATGCCCCCCAGTGGCCCAGCAGTAAATCTGCAGGCTACAAATTTGGGTTTATTACAGGCCTCTTTCGTTCTGTTATAGGATATTCTTTTATTTCACGTTTATAATTATAAGGTTCGCGACAAATATTTCAATAGTTTTATTTTCACTGACACGTGTATCTTCAAAATGTTGGTAGACATGTGATCAAGCAGTCCATGTTCTGCTATTCTTGTATTGATATTTTGTTAAGTCTCCCTATATAAGGACTATTACGGTCTATATATGCTACGCTAAATACTACTTCTTTCTCAGTTTGTTTGACTCTTTTTTATTATTTTGTTTGCTTAGAACTGCATTCAACCTTTTATGTGGTAAAAATATACATAATTTACTCACGGCTGGAAGTTTCCACATTTTATCTATTGTGGATATAAAATGTTAAAGTTTTCATTGCCTGTATCTCGACACCGGTTCTCATGCTCAACAACAAACCATAAAGGAAGTTCACCTGTATTTCGAAACTGGTTCAGATGCTCAACAGTGAAAGGAATAAACCATATAAGAAGTTCAATAATATCTAAACATTTTCATGAAATAAAAGTTCTATTTTCATAAAAAATATGTTAATTACGACAACTCCTGTAGGAAACATCGCTAGTATTGTAACTCTGTGCTTCAACTCGACCACCGAATTCACCAAGTAAAATACATAACTTCAGTAAAATAAAAGTCACTTTCATATTCAGAAACTCCACCTTAAACGTTTTTACTTTTTCATATCTTCTCAAGAAAGTAATTCCCTTTTTTTACATAATTTACTGACGTGGAAAAACACATTACCGGTAAAGAGCAAGTATATTCAATTGATTATTAGGTCTTTTTGTTTTATATGCATTCTAGTTTTAAGCATCATGACATCATATATCCGCATTAAATAAAATAAAATAATAAAATCCCTTCGGTTCTGTAATGTTCTATCTTGAACGGATTGTGACTAATTTGATCATTGATATAAATCCATTTAGCTAGGTATGAGATATAGACTACTGAACTAGTAGAGCAATCACTAGAATCTCCACTATTAGCTATAGACTACTGAATTATAACAATCACTAGAATCTCCACTATTAGCTATAGACTACTGAATTATAACAATCACTAGAATCTCCACTATTAGCTATAGACTACTGAATTATAACAATTACTAGAATCTCCACTATTAGCTATAGACTACTGAATTATAACAATCACTAGAATCTCCACTATTAGCTACAGATTATAGAATTTTAACAGTCACTAGAATCTCCACTATTAGACATAGACTACTGAATTATAACAATTACTAGAATATCTACTATTAACTGTAGACTATTGAATTATAACAATCACTAGAATCTCCACTACTAGCTGAAGACTATTGAATTATAACAATCACAAGAATTTACACTATTAGCTGTAGATTATTAAATTATAACAATCACTAGAATCTCCACTATTAGCTACAGATTATAGAATTTTAACAGTCACTAGAATTTCCATTATTAGCTATAGTATATTGAATTATAACAATCACTAGAATCTCCACTATTAGCTATAGAATACTGATTTATAATAATCACTAGAATCTCCACTATTAGCTATAGACTACTGAATTATAATAATCACTAGTCTCCACTATTAGCTGTAGACTATTGAATTATTATAGCAATAATTAGAATCTCCACTATTAGCTGTAGACTATTGAATTATTATAGCAATAATTAGAATCTCCACTATTAGCTATAGACTACTGAATTATAACAATCACTAGAATCTCTACTATTAACTGTAGACTATTGAATTATAACAATCACTAGAATCTCCATTACCAGCTGAAAACTATAGAATTATAACAATCACAATAATGTACACTGTTAGCTGTAGATTATTAAATTATAAGAATCACTAGAATCTCCACTATTAGCTATAGACTATTGAATTCTAGCAATCACTAGAATCTCCACTATTAGCTACAAATTATAGAATTATTGCAATCACTATTAGCTATAGACTACTGAGTTATAATAATCACTAGAATCTCCACTATTAGCTATAGACTATTAAATTATAGCAATCACTAGAATCTTCACTATTAGCTATAGACTACTGAATTATAACAATCACTAGAATCTCCACTATTAGCTATACACTATTGAATTATTATTGCAATCACTAGAATCTCCACTATTAGCTATAGACTATTGAATTCTAGCAATCACTAGAATCTCCACTATTAGCTATATATTATTGAATTATAACAGTCACTAGAATCTCCACTATTAGCTATGGAATTTTGTATTATAATAATCAATAGAATCTCCACTATTAACTATAGACTATTGAATTATAACAGTCACTAGAATATCCACTATTAGCTATAGACTATTGAATTATAGCAATCACTAGAATCTCCACTATTAGCTATAGACTTTGAATTATTATTGCAATCACTAGAATCTCCACTATTAGCTATATACTATTGAATTATTATTGCAATCACTAGAATCTCCACTATTAGCTATATACTATTGAATTATATTAACCACTAGAATCTCCACTCTTAGCAATAGACTATTGAATTATAACAATCACTAGAATCTCCAGTATTAGCTCTAGACTATTCAATTATAACAATCACTAGAATCTTCATTATTGGTTGTATACTATTGAATTATAAGAATCACTAGAATCTTCATTATTGGTTGTATGTTATTGAATTATAAGAATCACTAGAATCTTCCTTATTGGTCGTATACTATTGAATTATAAGAATCACTAGAATCTTCATTATTGGTTGTATACTATTGAATTATAAGAATCACTAGAATCTACTTTATTGGCGATAGACTACTGAATTATAGCAATCTCTAGAAGCTACACTATTAGATATAGGCTATTGAAGTATAACAGTCACTAGAATTTTCACTATGAGCTCTAGACTGTTGAATTATATTAATCACTAGAATCTTCACTATGAGCAATAGACTATTGAATTATAGCAATCACTAAAATCTCCACTATTAGCTATAGACTATTGAATTATAACAATCACTAGAATCTCTACTAATAGCTATACAATATTGTATTATAACAATCAATAGAATCTCCACTATTAGTTTTAGACTATTCAATTATAACAATCGCTAGAATCTTCATTATTGGTTGTATACTATTGAATTGTGAGAATCACTAGAATCTTCGTTATTGGCGATAGACTATTGGATTATAACAATCATTAACATCTCCACTATATGCTATAGACTATTGAATTATTATAGCAGTCACTAGAATCTCCACTATTAGCTATAGACTTTTGAATTATAGCAAACTCCAGAATCTCCACTATTAGCTATAAACTATTGAATTATAACAGTCACTAGAATCTCCACTATTAGCTACAGACTATTGAATTATAACAATCACTAGAATCTCTACTAATAGCTATGCAATATTGTATTATAACAATCAATAGAATCTCCACTATTAGCTACAGACTATTGAATTATAACAATCACTAGAATCTCTACTAATAGCTATGCAATATTGTATTATAACAATCAATAGAATCTCCACTATTAGCTACAGACTATTGAATTATAACAATCACTAGAATCTCCCCTATTAGCTATAGACTATTGCATTATTATAGTAATCACTAGAATCTTCACTATTAGGTATAGACTATTGAATTATAACAATCACTAGAATCTCTACTTTTAGCTATAAACTACTGAATAATTCCAATCACTAGAATCTCCACTATTAGCTATAGAATATTGTATGATAAAAATCACTAGATTCACCACTATTAGCTATAAACTACTAAATACAACAATTACTAGAATATCCTATATTAGCTGTACACTATTGAATACAACAATGACTAGACTCTCCTCTATTAGCTGTACTCTATTGAATAAAACAAAGACTAGAATTTGCACTATTTTCTATAGACTATTGAATTATTATGGCAATCACTAGAATATCCACTATTAGCTATAGACTATTGAATTATATTAATTACTAGAATCTCCACTCTTAACAATAGACTATTGAATTATAGCAATCACTAGAATCTTCACTATGAGCTATAGACTATTAAATTATAGCAATCACTAGAATCTCCGCAATTAGCTATAGACTATTGAATTATAGCAATCTCTAGAATCTCCACAATTAGCTAAAGACTATTAAATTATAGCAATTAATAGAATCTCCACTATTAGCTATGGAATATTGAATTATAACAGTCACTAGAATCTCCACTATTAGCTATAGACTATTGAATTATAACAGTCACTAGAATCTCCGCTGTTAGCTATAGACTATTGAATTATAAGAGTCACTAGAATCTCCACTGTTAGCTATAGACTATTGAATTATAACAATCACTAGAATCTCCATTATTAGTGCATGTTGTTATATCTCTGTAATTAAACTTCTTTGGAAAAAGGAGAACTTTTTAGAGTGAGTTGCTTCACTTTCTCCATTCATTGGTTGTAATTGTACGAATAAAGATATGCCTTTTATTGAGTTTTTTCATTAGACGTGTCTACTCTTTAAACTCTTTTTTTCAATCTATTGATGACAGCGAGACGTTATGTTACAATTATAGTTGCACGGATTCAGATTCAAGAAAACTCACACAAATCGCACTGATTTATTTTAGTAGTTTCTTATAATACAAAACTATAGTAATAGTTTCTTATTGACATCGCTTTCATATTTAGATAAAACCAATGATTTTCTCTAATGTTTTCACATCTCCTTAACCGTTGAACCCTTATTACACTTTCTATTCTTAAGAAGCAGATTCTTTGAATACGAAATACATTAGGCAAATACATATTTTCTCCACGGGATTAAGTTTTTGGTTAAGATTTCTCTTCAATTAAGTAGTTATCAGTATTAGAGAACTTGAATATTTAATTACCGAAAGACAAATCTATTAGCTTTCAACAATATTCACTATACGCAAACCCTACAAACAGTATTTGAAAAATCGTGTTACGTAACAGAATGTCACTTCTTTTTAAGATTCAATAATAATTTGTTTTTTACCTGCGTGGTTTGGCTTTGGTCACTAAAGATGACGCGAGCGAATGGATCCGAAAGGCCTGAGGCATCTGATCCAATCAACGATCGAGCCTGATACATGTGAGCCCGTAATTCGAAACCCTGTTTTTCTAGCGAATAAAAACAATTTCTGAACATTAAATAAAACACATGAAAGTGCTATAAGTTGTCAAAAAATGTCAAGTAAATTAATAGAAATAAACATCCACTCACCTACTAACACGCATATGGATTCTACAAGAATCGATCATGAATGTATTAAGATCATTACAAAAGATATAAATTAAAAGATCAGAGTGGAAATAGCACCCACAATGTATTGGGGATATCTCGTTTTTTCAATTAACTTCTAAATTGAAGGAGAAAAAATTGCATACAAGCAACTGAAAAAAAGGCTTATATACATGCGCAACGACCCAAGATGACCTACCATTCACCACCTGCAGATGGTTATGAACAAGTTGATAACCTCAAAATATTAATTGCAAAGACAAGAAATAAAAAATATACATAAATTTAATTATAGATTTTGTCTCATCCATCCTTATAATCCAAATCAGATAATATACTCAACCACCAGCCAAAGAAAAGTAGAATATAAAATGTAAGTTTTACAATAATATAACGAAACTATAGTACCATTCTTTATAATTCTCTAACAAAAGATGTAACCTCCACCCATAAAAACTATGTATCCTTGCTGCCATGAGTGCCTGCTACTTCTTCTGATACGATGTAATCTTTACCCTCCCAACATTATAGTCTGTACTCTAGATTTTTCAATTGGAATTCATATTTATATGTTGGTTTATTACAGAATTGTTGTCACGGAGAACCGGCTTCAACGTCCTGTAAATCTATCTTATAGTTCACAATTCTATAAAATAAAAAGATACGTATAGACCCATGCTGTTCCACATTTGTTTTGTCTAAAGTTTTACCTGTGTTGTAATTTCAACTAGAAGCTCTCAACATGGTTCTACTAGAAACTGGGATACGTTAATTTATTGCCGTGCTTTTGAATACAACCCTTCGTCACGTGGGTGTTAAAAACATAGTTGGACACACCATCATGACAAAATTGACAACTGAATCAGTTCCCGTAATATCTCTTTGATTTATTTTGCCCCATTAATTACACGGTTTATAAATAATTCTAAGCTCAGCATTTTATTATAATGTATATAGTTATAAATTTCAGTTGAAGTTTTTAGATTTAAAATTGATATGTTGGTATTATTACCATCGAACTGCACCTAAATGAGGACCAGTATTTTCTAACAAAGATCCGCGATTTGAAATTATTATTTATTTTTGTTCTCCGTCTTAATATTAACAGTTTACCAGAATAGTGCAGCATCAGTGGCGGAGACACCTGTAGCTTGTCGGCATTTCTGATTTCTGACGTAATGTCGTATCCTTTTGGAAGTCCTTTCAGGTAATGTTTCTTGTGCTTTGTTAAACCCAACCAAAGGTATATTTGGAGTTTTGCCTGTATCGACCAGCCGCCAGGGCCATTACTCTTTTTACCTGGTAACTATACAACAATATTTCATTCTTTTTACTTTATAACTCTTAATATCGTTGTAAGTTATTGTAAAATTGAACTTTTCTTTAGTTATATAGGAAAATAAATGCACATTTTCCAATGATAACTTAATGATATTAATTGAATAATATAATTTTATGCCGAACCAGAACAAAAACAGTAATTGCTTTTAACTTGATTTTCAGAATATTATCAAGATGTAAAGCATTTAAGTTAGAAGTGTTTAAATTATTTTGCAGTAAGAATGTCAGATATATTTGACAATAATTACAGCTATTTTGGTTATGAATTTCTTTAAAAAATAATCAAATACATTTCGAAAGATAAAAAATTCAAGTAATTAATAAAGAAACGTAAAAAAAAATTAATTACAGCTTTAGGCACAAAAAGTGTTTAGGAAAATCTCAACTATATTATATCTTTTATTAACATGTTTCAATAATTACATTTACAAACATTCGATATACAGCAATGTTTATGCACTGATCGAAACAAGTTGTAAACAAATACTGTATGGTAGGTTAGATGTGGAAAGTTCATTATTTGATTGATAAACTTTGAATGAAAGCCAAAAAACCGCCAGGAAATGCTTAGGTACAAAACAAAACACGAAGCCCTAAAGAATCTGTTTCTACATGAACTCTCAGACTTAGAAAATTAAGGCTTAAAAATCGTCTTGCACTTGCTATAAAATGTACATTCAGAAAAGTGGAATGTTTCCAGTAACATAAGCATTCTTTATTAAATAAAGCACGCTCTTAAGTACTAAGTATATATATTTTTTACACCGTATCACTACAAAAAGTTGAGCTTAGCATTAAGAAGAAGCAATATTCTGAGAACTGTGTGAATAAGTTATTACAAGGCAGTTCCACCAGAATACAAACAGTTAAAAAATGTTAATTACATTATATAAAAATAATTCACTCAGCAAAGAATATACCAAAGATGAAACTTTTTAACTTACTGAATAATTAAGAAAAATATAGCTGTTAACAAACTTTTATCAGTTTTATAATAGACTTAAACAGAAACTTACCAGCGTTCAAACAACCCTGCTTTACTCTCATTAGTGAAATGCTACATTCCCGTTTTGTTATCTTATTTTTTAGTTCAGAGTTCTCTTTGCCTCAGCTTCTTAATTAGCATAAATCGTAAAAGGAGACAACTAAGCAATTACGTTACTACAATTTCTGTACGAGACGGATATTTAGATTTTCTATCAAAGTTTGTGTAAAAAAGCAATCATTATAGCTATTAAATAACTCATTTGCTTAACCACATCCTGCATTAATTTTAAATAATTAATCACTCTCTCGTATGTAAACACTTCGATAAACAAACTATAACATTTGGCTTAACAATGTACTGGCGTCTTAGGAGTAATAAGCACCAGATCTTATAAAAGTCACGTAACAACTACTGTATTACTTAAGAATTCGTTTTATGTTTTTCAAAAGCCACCTTTAGGAAGAGAGTCTGAACTTTCCCGCAAAGTTTTCCTGCTTCTTCCTCAACAATAGAGAAGAGAAGGTCCCTAGCAGGCAGTCGAGAGTAGGCGACACGTTTTCCACCACTTATCATCCACACGAAAACATCGGGAAGCGCATGTTGAGGCTAGGGATAAGCAGTATAGCCCATTTTAACCATTTCTTTTGTACCATACTGCTAAAAACTAACACAGTTAATTCTTCATATATCTCAGAAAATGAAATGAGACGTATCTAAACTAAGTGGTATCGTATCAAATCTTTGTGTATTCCTTGAAATTTCTTTAACTAAAGTTTCTAAGCAATATTAAAAAGTACGTTTAATGAATTTATTTCACCTGTGATGGTAAGAATTTCTTATAAAAATCATGAATGAGAAGGTGAGGAAGCTATAATGATTTTCAAAAAATACTACAAAATAATATTAAAAGAACACGGTTTAAAGTTGTACTTATAAATTATTTCTCAATAAGCAACATCATACTTATAAACTATGAGAACAAAGTTTGATAGATACAAATTTTTACTCTTCCAGTATGTGAGCAAGACCATCTAGTCCTTAACATGTGTATACCTGTGTGTATGTTATACATTACACTTTATATTCTCACAAAGCGTAGTTAACGTGAGATTTACATTCAGCTGGAAAGCAAGAGAGTATCGAACACATTTTTTGTTACACGAGAGCAAAAATAGTGCACGTGTAAATAAAGTCTTCACTAAGTCGTATCACGTATTTAAAGAAATATAAAGCTCTCTTCATTAAAAACAGCCATACACTGAATGATCTTAAAATGATTTTGAATAAAAACATTCAACAATTTACAGAAATACCCTTCTTCTAGATTTCAAGCACTTCACAAATTAGGTATCTGTACCAACGCTAGTTACATGATCGGCATTCCTTTCAAAAACGAGTGTACTTTCGTTAGATTTTGAAGTTGAATATTTTAAATTTTGATGTCTCAGAAAACTCTAGTTACTTCACCTCTTTGTTTCCCCACTAAAAAAGGTTTCTGAAGATCACCAGGAAATTTTATAACTTATTTTGAATTATTTATTGACATTTCAGCAGTTTTTCTCTCCTGTATATATATTTTTGCATTATTTGTTATTAGTTTTAAATTAAATTTTGCTTTTAAACTTTCTTCTAGAATTTTAGTGTGCTAAATGTTTATATAATATAAAGAAATCATACGAATGTCTTCTTAATTCAATACTTACTATACAAAATGTTTAATCATGAGTCCTTCCCATGAATAAAAGCTTTAAAAGGCGATGGGTTTTCAATAAGGATTTATGTGAAAGGATTTTCCAAATAAGTAGGATATCATCATGGTTAATCTATAGAGATTACCCATAATCCATCAATAAATGATCAGTCAACCACAGACCTCAAGACGTTGAAAACTTAATAACCACCGAACTACAGTCTTCTAGCTCCAAAATCTTACTCCTGGAGCATGTGTCATGGACCTAACTATATACATTTAAAATCTGCTGTTCTTAGCTTGCCCTTGTGAGGAACTTGTTACTCAATCGAACAAATATGGTTAATAAGATTATATAACATTTACTTTCAACTATGTCTTAATGTTTAAGTACCTGAAATTCTGAGTAATGCTTTTCCAACATTTTTCATATTGAAACCTAAACAAATCAAAGGATCTTAAAAACTAAAATAAAAAAAACAACGCTTATTTTATACACAATTCTATAAAAACGAGATTGTTTCCAGTCTCCAAATTACTAAAATAATTTGTTTGTTTGCAGTTAAGCACAAAGTTACACAAAGGGCTATCTGTTTTAGCGAGTAAAAATAAGGATCAATTGGAAACTACCATTTATCGTAAACCTTCTCTGTAATCATT